TAGCATTTATTTCAGTTTTCTTCAATTTATTTCAGTTTATTTATGATTATGATTATTCATAAAGTATTGTTTATAATAGCATGTATCATGAGACTAAAAAGGATGGATATTAAGAAAGTGATTAAGCCATATGTTGGGGAATAAGCCCGCACAAGTAAAGGCGAAAGACCTGACGAGATAAGCCTATAATCTCAAGTCTAGAAGTTGGGAATGTGGACCCAACCCTGAATTGAGAGAACAGCTTCAATTCTAAAAGTTGGGAAGTTAGACCTAACCTTGAATTGAAAGCTGAAAGGGGTGCAAAAGCTTATAACCATCATATGATCTGTAAAAAGGGTGTTGAACAATTAGAAGACGAAAAGTACTACAATGTTTTCTCGTGATCCATGTGAAAGGTGCCCTAACCATGTTATTATTTAGTCACGAATGGTGTGCATTTCTAAATGGTTAAAATGTTATTATTAATTCTAATACATTGTTTGTGTATTTCGTTGGGCCATAGCTCACTGGTAGTGGTTGTACTGCAGGCAAAGGAAAGGAGCCCATAGGGCATTAAGGGGTGACTGTTCTTTTGGGTGTACATACTTTTTGGGTGTACATAGAGGTTCAACTGTAAGCTGTACAAAGACTTTTGGGTATGTAAGTAAAGTTTAAACATTTTAGTAGAGAGCTCTGTATTTACATTGTTTATGTTTAATGTTACTTGAGGTACATTACATGCTTCCTATTATAAGTGTGGAATTTGACATGTTGAAGTATTAGGAGAGTCTAAATAGATTTATTTCCTTCTCTGTTATACTCCAGTTTGTTTGATAGAGGGTAAGTCAAACTGGGGCGTGACAGTGGATGCCCAACCAAGATCCCATGTAGGGCTCTGTTTCCTTAGCTTAAATCTAAAAAGAGGACTTATGCACCCTTGAAAAAAACCTCTACACACAAGCCAAAAGTCCAACCTAGCCTACAAGTTTTTCTGAGCAAAGGAAAGGACATGGCTATTTTGTAATAATACATATCAAGTTATGAAGGGCACAAGTGGAAATGATGCTTTAAAAATCAGTTTTGAAATTAATTTTCATAAAACAATATTTTGACAAATTTACAGAAAAATTAATATCAGGTTACAAATTATAAAAATGAGTTATATATAAAATTATGTAATTACGAATTTAAGTTTTTGATTATCATAATATTTCCTAAATAAATTTCATCCTTGAAATTTCTTGCACAATTTCGATCCTTTATAACATGACTGAAATTTTTTTTTTCCCATATTCTACTTCTTTTTCCAAATTCCACCCTCATCAATTATATTCTTAAAGATGATATGAGAAATTAATCATGTAAATCCCTCATGTCAAGGCAACACTAATCTATAAATCATCTTTTCGATTCTCTTCAAGGCCTCAAAGAGAATTACACACATTTGACTCAATTTAAAAAGTTTTACTTCTTTCTTAAAATTTCATTTATGATAACTTTTATGTTTTGCTTTCTAAATAAATTTTTTAACATAAAAATTTCTTGTTCAAAATTTTTTTATCAAAAATCTATTTTAAACAACAGTAAAAAATTCGTCCCAAACAAAAGATTTTAGCCCCAACAAAGTAAACACAATAATTCCTTTCATCTATGACGACGGCAATGGTGGAATCGGAGATGAGCTATGGACGACAGTGCAATGCTGATTCTTGGACGAAGGTCGCTCAATGAGAACATCAATGATGGGATCATCAAGCAATTTGAGCTTGCTCAACTCACCAAAAAGAAGAATATAAATAATAAAGAAGCAAACATATTTAAAGCTCATACTGGGAGGTATTTATAGACTTTAAAGACCATCACATGCTAATTACTTCCATTAATTAATAATAATTAACTACTAAACTAATTACAAGTGGGTTCGCATCATAATCATATCAATACATGAATGATGCTTTCCATAGATGTTAGATCCAAATTTTTCTATGGATGCCCAACCTTGCTAGATGAAAAGCTCTAGAGAATGGAACACAATGACCTGGAGAGAGTACAAAAAGAAGATTTTTTTGGGATTTAGTATTTTGCTAGCTCAATAAAACTTCAAGGATATGTCAAAAGATTCAAAATGTTTTACTTCACCTTTAATAAAAATCCAAGGGTTAAAGAGAAGACCACCAAAAAAGTAAAGGTACAAAAAAAAAAAAAAAGAAAAGGTAAAAAAAAAAAAAAAAAGACAATATAGACCGCCTATAACAAGACACTGATAAGAGTTTGATACTATTTTCTGGCCCAATTGTCCAACCTAGGGTTGAGTTCCGTTATGCTGTACTTATGGGCGAGTTGATGAAGGTGTCCTCAAGTGGAGAGATTATTTTGTGTGGACATCAGACGGGAGAACCGTCCGGTACTGCTTGGTACCGAGCACAGTACCGAGTGTACCGACACTCAATACAGAGCGTGGTACACTTTTGAAGTGACGTATCGCATTTTTATTTGCCTCTGGATGACGTCCGGACTCCGCACAG